GTAGTGGTTGTCATGCTGAGAAATTAAGTAAAATTAACATATTTTATGTAAATATGAGTGAGTTTAGGAATAAAAGTAGAATAAATATGTAATATTGATATAGGTATATATTGGTACTAGCACTCTAATTTTCTTCTCCTATTTCTACTCATTCTATATTCTCCATGCCCTTAACATATACCACATATGGTCACATTTCCTTATCTGCCTTATCTGGTTGTTTGACCCCAACATTCATTTCTTCTCTACATCTACATACAGAATGAGATCTCATTATTTCTCTTAGACTATTTGGAAGGACAAATATCAAGTAAAACCAGGGGGGAACATTTACAAAAGAAAGTAACTGAAGAAATAATAAACATTTGTAAAATAAAATTTGGAAGATATTGTATGGCAATAAATTATGACATTTATGAAAAATAACGTGGATAATATTAGATATGAGTGAATTAATTAATATGCTAACACTTTTAAGACAGTTCTGATTCACTTTGCTTAAGGACCCAGTTCTTGACTTGCCTTTAAGACTTAGATAACAGGAAAAAAAGCCACTCTGCTAATTTTACCATTCCATATCCATTATCTTCTCTACATCTATATCGTGATACTATTGAGACAAGCTTAACACAATGTTAAAATTATGTTAAATATGACTTTATAAGAGGTATCCATTTCATCTTAAAGAGAGAGTGTTTACTGAAAAAAGAACAGCAGGATGGAGTGGGCAGTTAAGTGAGATGAGAACCTGATTTCTGCTGATGAAATGGAGACAATGAAATGGAGTTTCTGGATTCCCAGTACGTGTCAGCTTCTAGTCAATACTTTTGTATGGTTTGGGTGATTTCAATGTGTCCCCTAAGGGTTCGTGTGTTGAAAGCTTGGTCTTCCTCATGTCAGTGTAGAGGTACTGGAAACTTTTTGAAGTGGGGCTTAGTGTTAGGCCATTGCCCACTGTCCTTAGGAGGGACTAAGTGCTTGGGGTGTCCTTGAATTAGTTGTTTTGTTAATTTGTTGCTTTTGTTTTCTGTCATTGAGACAGAATCTCATTATGTAACCTAGACTGGCTTAGAATTCATAATTTCATCTCTGTGCCTCTGTTTCCCTAGCATATATGTGTGTGTGTGTGTCCCTCATGGTTCCCTTAATTTTCATTGAAAGCCTGAACCTGTGCCATTGTCTAAATATACCACCAGAGGGCACAGGGTTGAAAAATTTCTTTCTTTATTTATTTTATTTAATTATCTTTGTTTCTTCTGCAAGGGTTTACTGGAGCTTATAGCATCTGAGAAAACACACAATATGTTGTTTTATTATAAGGGTTGAGTTTGAATTGAACTGGTAGTCAAGAGACTCAATCTAGACATGACTTTCTGTGTAACATATGTGCCATTGACCATCCTATATGTGAGATGTCACCTTACCTATTGAGTTTGGGCAGTGATGCCATGACATCACAAAGGCCACTTTGATGGGGGATGAATACTCTGCATTCACCTTTGCAATCTCAGTGTTGAATGTGCTGTTTTGTATACAGTAGGACTTTACTATATTTGTTTGAAAAGAAACAGTGACATGGTATAGTCACTTACACTGTACTTACCTCCTTTCCAAAAATCCCCCAGTGTCTTTCCAATGGACTTCAGTTAAAGTGTGTCCAATTTATCTTGGATTTCAAGTCCTTCCATAGACTATATGTAGGATTAACTTGAACTAGCCCTAGTTACTTCCACTGCTCCCTTGATTCGCATTGATCCTTTTTTCTTCAACATAATATTTGTGTTGATTATTTGGGAATTTCACAACGTGCACCCCATCACACTCACTTCCCATTCCTCCCAGGCCTGCCCCCTCAACCTTGTGGCTGCTCTCCCCAAAAGAAATAAAAAGACAAATCCAATTTGTGTTGCCCACATAGTCACTGGAGCATGCTCAAACTCCCAGTGGCCAGCACCTGAAAGAAAATGGAGTCTTTTCCCACCTCTACCCCTGCCAGAAGCCATCACTTGTGGAGAGCTACACTTCAGCATCCTTATCACAATTTTTAAGAATTCTCTTCAGTGGATCCCTGTCTAGGCTGTTACTGTGGTGGTGGTGATGGTGGGTTGGGGGTGGAGTGGGGTGGGGATAGGGGTTTTCACAGAACCCTTATATGCCTTTCTCAACTATGAGTTTCCAGTCATCAATACCACTACAAAAGAGGCTTCCTAAAGGAAGCCCCCTTGCCCTTTATAATCAGCAGGAGCATGGATCATGGATTTCCACGTGGTTTCTGGCCACAGCACAGACTATGGACAACCATATAACCTCCAGCATCAGCATGAGCCACTTGGACCTCAGTATGGTCTCCAGTGGCTGTACAGATCACAGACATCAAAACAGCCCTCTGCTGCAGCACAGGCCATGGACACCATCATAACCCGCAACAGCAGCAGCAGGAGTAGCAGCAGCAATACAAGACACAGACATCAACATGGCCTCCTGGGTAACATGTGGCATGGACACCAATATGGTATCCCGTGGCAGCCTAGCCCATGGATATCAACATGGATTCACTGAATGCCATGTGCATGTCTGTGATCTATGCTGCTGAGTGACCACATTGATCTTTAATGTAGTTCCTAGGGTAGCTGTTTGGGGGGCTAGGTGCTTTGTGTCCTGTCATGTGCTTGATCAAATAGCAGGAGGAATTACTGTTACTACTATCACTATACCTAGAAACTGACAGAGTCAAGGCTAAACTGGAGTTTCTTGATGAAATATAATTATTTTTCTCCTTCATTTGTTTGTTTTGTTTTGTTTTGTCTTTTGAGATAGGGTTTCTCTGTGTAACAACAGTGCTGGCTGTCTTGGAACTCATTTGTAGACTAGGCTGGCCTCGAACTCACAGAGATCTACCTGCCTCTGCCTCCTAAGTGCTGGGATTAGAGATGTGTGCCACCACTGCCCAGCTTCTACTGCTTCTTTTTGTGTATAGCACACAGTTAATCTCAGGTAGAAGATGTTTGTTTTTATTCCACATTATTGGTCCCTTCTGTACCATATTCTGGAGTTCTTGGGTTAGAGGAGGATGTAGTGGACTTTTGTGATCAGAAGACATGACTAGTTTCCCTTTGAGCATTAAAAAGTCTAGGATTTGACAACATTTTCTCCACTTATGCATAAACCATCCTATAGCACCAATTAAAAAGATTCAACAAGTCTGCATATATCTTTTTCTCAAAAGTCATCCTGTTCTGGCACTGTTTGGCGTTGGCAATAAGAACTGTTTTAAATGAGGGATGTATGTAGAAGCCAAAGTATTATCTAAAGTTTTACCCAGAGTACAAACCTTATTTTTTTTAAGCTTTTTTTTCCACTTGGCCTTGGTTTTGTGCATCAGCATTGGAAATGTCATCGCAACGTTCATGTCATGGTTAATTTGTAACTGAGAATGCTCTAGTTTTGCAATCAAGGGCATGTTATAAAGATGGAAAGGTAGGTGTTGCTGTCTGAGAGATGCAAGTGACTTCTTGGGCATGTGCTGTAAGTATTTTTTCTCCTTGGGAACACTGAACATTTCTTCCAAGACAGAGTTCCAAATAACTGAGTTTGAAGTTTGCAGAGTGGTCAGGAAGCAAGGTCTAAGAGTGGTCATCTGATAACTGACCTTCTAACCAGCCTTGATAACTTTGATTGGAAGAGTATTCTGGTGAAAATATGGAAATTTGATATAGAAGTGGATGAAGGAAGGCTGGAGGAGATAGAAGGCCCCCTGTCATGCTAGGAGCTGATAAAACTTAGGGAATGGGACTTGTAAGTAGAGATGGAAAGAAAAGAAAAGTTTTGGTAAGTATTCAGGAAGTATTCATTGGTCATCATGGCCACTAGAACTGGAGAATAAAAATGAAGCAAGCCCTTTGATATGGGTCTGTCTATAAACAGGGGTGCAATATATTGGACTATGGAATGAAAAAGAAAAAGGGGGTTGGGGGAGTTGAGAGAATGTGTTTACATTTGGAAATTGGGATTTCCCAGTGGAGGCTGAAGTATGAATGGGCAAACAGGGTGTATATGTCCAATAGCAGCTGGGTAGATGAGTAACAATTCAGTAAGACAGTATGGACAAGAAGGACATTTATAATACAGCAGTTGGCACCTAAGTTGAGACCACTCATGAAGAAAATGAAAGGCTTAGGAAGAGGCCCTGTACTGACTCCATGGATCTTTTTTCTAACCACTGGTGTATGAACATCTTTGACTCTACATCATGCTCCCTGCTTCTTTGTACTACTTCATGCTTAGAAAATTTTAGGACTTCCTCTCTAATTGGTATAAAATGGCATGCATACCTATAAGAATAAGATTGTTAAGCTCTGTTAGAAGTAAGAAATGGTTCTTTAGGTAGTACTAAAAGAAAGAAGTCTCTAATACAAGAATGTTATACCCTCACTTTCCTATCATTTGAAAATATTCTTGTGCCTCCCATACATTTCACAGGTGTGTGAATTTTGGCTTGTCATGTTGTACATGACTTGATGAACCATTCCTCTTCCATTCCAACTAGTCATTTCTTGGAGGAGTTGTTCTCATTTGGTCATATCACAAATGTTATCCTAAGAAAACACCAACTTAAAATACACACATACACACAAACCAAAATTCTAATGTACATGTGGCATAAACAGAGGGAGTGCTTGCTGTGTCTAATGATTCTTCATACCCATAAAAGTGCCCTTCATTCAAATGGGACTTGATTCCATTTCCATGAGTTTCATTATTTTCATGTGCTATTATCATATGTTAATGAATTCATGACATTGTATTTCTGTTGCCTAGGCCAGCCATTTCTCCTGCTCTCTTTCCAAAGTAGACATGTCACTAGTCTTTAGAGAAGAGAGAGACTATTTATCTCCTTTATTCTTTGCTGAACACAACTTCAAATACTTTCTTTTGTTGTATAAATCAAGGTGGGTAACTTTTATGTTTCTCTGGATCAGAAAGTATTTCATCTTTCTAAACTCCCCCAATGGTTATCTCACTTCATGTTTTGTAGATCATCTTCACTCCAGAATGTCAGTGTTCCTCTATCTGTTTTTCTTGGTATTTGGGCTTCAGGCTACAATCCATTGTGCACAATATAACAGCTCTGAAGGCAAAGTAATGACCTGTCATTTGCCCCAACAAAATGCCACTCTCTATAAGATGTCATCTACCAATGCTGACTTTGCGTTCAGGCTGTATCGTAGGTTCTCTGTGGAGAACCCAGATTGGAACATCTTTTTTTCCCCTGTGAGCATATCTGCTGCTTTAGCTATGCTTTCTTTTGTATCTGGCTCTAGCACCCAAACTCAGATTCTGGAGGTTTTGGGGTTTAATCTCACAGATACTCCAATGACAGAATTTCATCAGGGCTTCCAGCATTTGATCTGTTCATTGAATTTCCCAAAGAATGAACTGGAATTGCAAATGGGAAATGCAGTTTTCATTGGGCAGCAGCTGAAACCACTGGCAAAGTTTTTGGATAATGTCAAGACCCTCTATGAAACTGAAGTCTTTCCTACCGACTTCTCCAATGTTTCTGCAGTCCAGCAGGAGATCAACAGTTATGTGGAGAAGCAAAGCAAGGGGAAAATTATAGGCTTAATTCAAGACCTTAGACTGAACATTATCATGATTCTGGTGAACTATATTCATTTCAAAGGTAAGGCATTAAGACATCAATTTCCAGTCTAGTGTTAAGATAGAGAACTAGGGGGGATTTATGATCTCTTATCACTAGCATCAGTAGGTGTCCCTCATACCACAGTGATTTGTCACTATTGCCTCTATCTATGCATTGTGTTGGATCATTCCAGGATGACACGCAGCTTTGTATATGAGCCCAGGAAATTTTTAGGGAGATAACACTTTTAAAGATTCGGTTGACAATGTTATGAATGTTCTGATCATATCAGGCTAAAGACCTATAGTTTCTAAAGTATTTAATGAGGTGGGAAAAGCCTGTGCTTGGCAAGTCAACTGAATTTGTATCTAGGCATAATGTGGTCCCTACTTCTGTGCACATTGGGATACCTTGCATAAATAACTTTTAATATATATAAGTACCTACTATGTGTGATTATGCTGCAAGTATACAAATATATACCATTGATAATTTTCAGTGCTAACTTTTCCAGCAAGGCTATCTAGCCCTAAAGCTAGAGCTTACAGTGATTTCTGAAAGCATGGTGCCCAGATGATTCCTCTTGGTTTTATAGAACCTGTCTTTCATGTTTGGATGAGTGATTTTTTGCATAAGCCATACACCTATATATGATTAAAATGGCAGAACACTTTGTTATCTCATTTCACTCATTTTTCTTGGCACTCATATACCTTTTCATGGAAGGAGATACCATTTCTGATGGGTGTAGAAAGTATAGTGTTTCTAAAAATAGACTGTGAAGTCAAGCAGAATTGGAGGGGACTTCTGTTTTTGCCATGTGGTAGTTGACTGATCATGTCAGGTGACTTTGTTTTTCTGATCTTTAGTGAGTCACTTATTTATAATCACTTGGAAAACTGGTTGGCAGTATACAGTCTTAATTATTAGATGAATGACTAATGGTTTCAAAGAAACATCTCTTCTCTTTCTTGTTTTAAGCCCAGTGGGCAAATCCTTTTCGTGTATCTAAAACAGAAGCGAGTTCCAACTTCTCAGTGGACAAAACCACCACAGTACAAGTGCCCATGATGCACCAGCTAGAAGAATACTATCATTTTGTGGATGTAGAGCTGAATTGCACAGTACTTCAAATGGACTATAGTGAGAATGCTCTGGCACTTTTTGTCCTTCCAAAGGAGGGACATGTGGAGTGGGTGGAGGCAGCCATGTCAGCTAAGACACTGAAGAAGTGGAACCACTTACTGCAAAAAGGGTAAACAATTTAGAGGGTATGAGGGGCTGTGGGTGGGCCTATCAGTAGTGGAGGTGAGGCTACATTCAGAAGAAACCTAGAGGTAGGAAAATTACCCAGAAGCACGTGGCAGTAGTAAATGATGTTTAGAGTATGTCCAGTACAGTGTGCCTGACACTTTTCTGGATACTTTCCACAGTATTTCCTCTAAGCATATTGAGAAAATGCCAAGGAGACATATGTCAAATTAGAAATTCCCATAAAGCTCCCCAAAGTGAGTATGCTAGGATGCTAATACCTTTTTAAGGACCAAATAAAGCTTTGGGATGGATAAGAATTGATGTTGGCACAGAGTTGGCAGTCATTTTTAGCTAGAGCTTCAAGATAGAACACCATGAAAACCCCTGTGCACTACCCTTTGATCTTCATGCCATTAGACCCCTGTCCTTGCTCAGTACCACAGAGATACATTTTTCTGATAACAAAGGGTCAGGGCACCATATGTTGCAGTCCAATATTTTCTGAGTCTGAGACCACTTCTACAACAATACCTTCTGTGGTTATGGTACCATGTTAATGGTTGTCAGTGTTCAGAGGAGTAGCCAAGGAGAGAGGGAGGGAGGGAGGGAGGGAGGGAGGGAGAGAGAGAGAGAGAGAGAGAGAGAGAGAGAGAGAGAGAGAGAGAAAGAAAGATCTTGAGATCTTAAGTGTGATTAGTGTGGTGACTGTCATGTCTCCCTTTCCTTATTCCACACAGATGGGTTGAGTTGTTTGTTCCAAAGTTTTCCATTTCTGCCACATATGACCTTGGAAGTACACTTCAGAAGATGGGCATGAGGGATGCCTTTGCTGAAGGTGCTGACTTTCCTGGAATCACGGAAGACAATGGTCTAAAACTTTCCTATGTAAGTTGGTGGATGTTTTTTACTGTATGAGCTGGAGAGAACATTGAGAGTCAATTAATTCACCCATATCATTTAGTCAATACAGGAATCTCATGTCTACATTGACAATGTGATTCTGTTAGGTGACTATTATATGAGAGACATTCTTGTTTCTTAAAATAAGTCATTTTAGAAGTTATTTCTGGGTCTGGAGTGATGGCTTTGTAGATAAGAGCACTGTTTGTTCTTCCAGAAGATTCAGGTTCAATTTCCATAACCAACATAACATGGCAGTTCACAACTGTTCTGTGACTTTAGTCCCATGAAATTTGGTCTGATTCAAAAACACACATGCAGGCCAAACACAAAAATACATAAATAAATAAATGTAATTTCCATCCCTAACCCTCATGTTCTAAGATGACTAACGCAACGGAAAGTCTTATTGATCAGAAGTGACTCATGAGACACAGTGCTAGAGGATGTGAGAAAGGCACCCAAGAGATAACTTCTAGAGATGGAAGGTGATGGAGAATGAGATGCTACCCAAACAAGTAGTCCTAAAATCACAGAAATTCATTAACTACACTCATCAATGTAATATATTCAAGTACCATCAACATAATACATTGTATTTCGTTTTGTACTTCTCACACACCCCAAAGACTGTTGCCACTTTTTCAGGGGACCTTCAGTGTGTGTTCTTTTCTCACAGGCTTTCCACAAGGCTGTGCTGCACATTGGAGAAGAGGGAACCAAAGAAGGAATTGTTCCTGAAGCTGTGTCTCTGGATCAGGCAGAAGTAGCTCCTCTTTACCCTATTATCCGATTTGATAGAACATTCTTACTTATGATTTTGGAGAAAAGGACCAGAAGCATTCTCTTTTTAGGGAAGGTTGTTAACCCAGCAAAAGAGTAATTGGGGAAGAGGCCATTGAGTGCGTACATATTATAATGGGAAATAAACATTTAACATAGCTTGATGTACTTGCTGTGGGCTTAGGCTTTATGTCTTTTGTGCAAGGCATAAAGGTGGATTTCTTCTGGACTACATTGGCTGTGGAAGTGGCTAATCCTGTGACCAAACACATAGATAGTCAATGAACGATTGTTATTTTAGACTAGAGGAAGCATCAGTGTTAGTAAGTCATTGTAAAGCTACTCATCAATTAGCTAAATCTAGAAAATTTGACTGGGATTACAAATGCCTTTGGATATATCATCTGGACAATAGCTGTAATACAGGTCAAGTCTTCATATTACAGTATTCCAACAGCATGATCAATGAACATGCAAATGCTTTGGCTTGTATATGAGTTTCACAATAATGTCTGCTCTTTCTACCTATTCAAAATGAGTCTGTGATTATAGCTACTGCTAGTGCTAAAAAAGCTTCTTTCACTACACTGTCTAGCCAAAGATTGAATGCTTTTATCTAGGGATGTAGTGTTTGTTACCTAACATGCTTTCAACAAAAGAATGGAGAAAAATGAATTTCCTCATGCAAGCCACATGCTCACTAGCAGGTCTCCTTGTTTTTAATTCATAAAGTATTCATGGAGGGACAATTAATTTGCGCTGTATACTCTATTCATTATTTTTTTTTTAGATTCTTTCCAAATATTGAAAATCTGCCCCACTTGATCTCATGGAAATTTCCTGCTTAACCTATCTTTTTGTCTGTATTCCTCAATAAAATACATTTGTGTCCCTAAAACTTCCACTGCCTACATATGCTATTCTATCTTTACCCACCAAAGTAGATTTATTCTCAACATCATGTATTCAAGCACCCATATTAGAATTTAGAGCACAGATATCACAGTGAGTGTTAATTTTGTAGTAACCAAATTCTGTCTATTCCAATATTTCACTAATAGGAAAATAGCAATGAGTTTGTAAGTACTATGTATATGTGCTTCCATATTAAAATAAATAAATATGTTTAGAAATATGTTTATAACTTTTTAATCTTTTCTTATTAGACATATTTGCAGGGAGGCTTGAATATCTTTTCTATAATACTTACTTTGGCTTTGTGGATAAGGAATTGGAAACAGAGAAGGATAATGACTTATGGTACAGAAAAAAGTTCATTCTTGACTTGATATTTCATTTCACTGTAGTTAGATTACAATATTGGTTCTGTTACTTACACTGCTTTGTGATCTTTGGCAAAGCACAAAAACTCTACCACTTCTTTTCCTTATGTGTAAAATGTAAATGGTAGTAATATCCATGCTGTTATAACCTCACCAAATCCTATGAAATGTAGTGAAAATGCAAGACACCCCTCAAACAACATAGGCTATTGATGCTGCCCTTGGTTGCCTCTTAGAACTTCAATGTAAGACCTTATTGCTGAAGATACTGCACATTTAAGACACAGGACTTAGAAGAATTGAGCTAGAACTGACCTGGAAACCTTCTCCCTGAGGACTAGATATCTGAAGTGCTATGCAAACTGTCAAGGGAGAAAAGCAATCAATAGTTCTATTCAGTTGTAAAACCTATGAATCACACCAATGACCAGGCTGGTAGTGATGCAATAGTGTCACTTTTAGCTTTGAAGTAATCAACAACTGTTTAATTATATTTAAGGCCCACTCATTGGGAGGGAAGTCATGCCAGATATTGTAAACCTAGCTAATTTTCCTAGCTAGAGAGGTTATAGACCCTAGAGAACCGACCACTACCATTGCCATCAAAGCACTATAATTTTGAACTGTATGATAATACTTGTCTTTATATACACAAGTAAGTGTAGCTTTATCCCCTTATCAAAGATGCTCCTTTTAGCAAATATGGAGATGATTACAGAAATCCACAAGGTATCAATATGCAGAGAATAAGTGAATATGGGCTACTCAACCTAAACAGATATATCTATAACACAACTCCTGTTCCTAAGAGTCAGTGAACATTGTGGAAAGAGGGGGTGGAAAGATTCTAAGAACCAGATGACCAGTATGTCTGCTGCTACATAATGTCTTATAGACATGATAGGGATGCTACACACCCATGAAACTTCAACAGTATGGCTACTTAACATACCTGCATAATGATAACAGTTATCAGGCATGCCAACATGGATGGGAAAACTTTTACAAGGCCTCATCCCTAGATGAAGAACTACAGTCAATGGCTGTTGGGGAAGGGAGGATCAGTTTCCTCAAAGGATGGGCCTCTTGATATGTTATCCAATACCAAGCAGTTAGCTCTAAACATGTCTATATTAGCAATGCTAAATGGACAGTAGGCATGTATGCGTGCATGTGCACGCTTGTGTGTGTGTGTGTGTGTGTGTTATTAGTTACCTTTCTCTTGATGTCACAAAATACCATGGCCAGAAACAACTTTAAAAAAGTTATTTTGACTTATGGTGACAAAAGAGAAGTCCATAATGACAAGAAAGATATAGCAGCAGGTAACCAGAGTGGGAAAGTTACTGATCACATTTCATTAAATCGGAAGCTGAGAGAGCAAACTGGAAGCTGTATGAGGCTATATAAGCCTGCCCCTAGTGATGCACTTTCTCTAGCAAAGCACCACATCCTAAAAGTTACATACTCGCAGCCCCAAACAATGCCACCAACCAGGACCCAAGTGTTTAAATGTGTGAGACTATAGGGGACATTTCACACTCAGACCACAGCATTTCACTCTGTGGGCTTCATCCAGGCTTCTACTAGAATGGCTTATTAAGCTCTGCTTAGAACATTTAACCATTTTTCGTATCCAAAGTTCTAGAATCTCCCATAAAGCAACATGGTCAATGTGATGGTTAACTTTGGTTGTTATCTTGACACACCTTGGAAGACGGAACCTTAATTGAAGAATTTCCTCCACTAGATTAGCTAGTAAGCATGTCTATGAGGCATTTTCTTGATTGCTTATGATATGGGACAATTCCCTCTGTTATTGTATGCAATACTATCACTAGGCATATGGATCTGGTAGTTGGATGTCAGCCTGGGAACAAGCCAGTAATCAGCTTTCCTCCACAATTTTGTTTCTGCTCTTGCATAAGTTCCTGGCCTGGCTTTGCTTGTGACCTGAAAGCATAAACTAACATGAAATATTTCCTACCCAAGTTGCTTTTAGAAATATATATTAATATAACAATGATAGTTATAGAAAAGAAGGTCATGAACTTCAGAAGGAGTAGAAGAGACACAAGAGGAAGTGGATGGTAGAGAATAAAGGGTGGAAATAATGTCAATTTAGCATTCATGTACGAAATTCTAATTTGCTGTGAGAATGTGTATCCTGGAAATGGCAGGGAAGCTTCAAAAGTATAGCTGTCTAAACAAGACCAGAACAAGGACAAGACCCAAAGGGCATGCTATTGTGGAGAGGGGAAAATCTCATGGGGCCTTGCACTTAGATGAAGACTACAGGCAATTAAGAAATGCTGAAAGTGACAGAATTAATCTTCAGGGATGAGCCACCTAATTAGTTATCCAATACAAAGTGGTCAGCCCTGAAATCACACATATACATATACAGTAGTAACAGTAAACAGACTGAGCAGATTACATTTATATATACTTATATATGTATACATTATATGCACATACATATGTATATATAATGTATCACAACTAAAAAAGAGGTCATGAATTTGATAGGAATCAAAGGGTAGAGAACATAGGAAGGATTGGAGTGAGGAAAAGGAAGTGAGGAAAAGATATACTTATATTTCAATCTTAAATTGTTATTTTAAAAAATCCACAGCCAAGCACCATGCTGAGCTACAGGAGTCTAGTCAAAGAGATTGAAGAGGGATTATATGATCAAGGGCGTGGGGGGGGCAGGTTCAAGATTATGATGGGGAAATCTACAGAGACAACTGAACCAAGCTCGTAGGAACTCATGAACTTTAGACCAACAGCTGTGGAACCTACATGGGACCAGACTAGACTCTCTGCATACGGGAGACAGTTGTGGAGCTTGGTCTGTTTGAGGGACCCCTGGTAGTGGGATCAGAATCTATCCCTGGTGCATGAGCTGGCTTTTTGGATCCCATTACCTATGGTGGTATGCCTTGCTCAGCCTTCATGCAAGGGGGAGGGGTTTGGTCCTGCCTCACTGAATGTACCAGGCTTTGCTGACTCCCCATGGGAACCCTTACTCTTTTGGAAGAGAGGATGTGGGGTGAGCCGGGGGAGGGGGAAAAAGGGAGTGGAAGGAGGGATGAGAGGGGCATCTGTGGTTGGTATGTAAATGAATAAAAAATTCTTAAATAAAAATAAAGCAAATTAAAATTGGTTTATTTGAATAAATGATACAGGGATGTGTTGATGTAACTAACCGTCTTATTAAATAAGAAACACAGAAACAATGTAAAAGAGAAAGCCGAGAGGTCAGAGCTCAGAGCTAAAATCTCACCCTTCCGCCTGCAGTGTCCCAGCTTCCCGAAAAGAGAGCTACTTCCTGTCTGTACGTCTTTTTTATAGTATTATTGTTCTGCCTTCTCATTGGTTGTAAACCCAAACACGTGACTGCCTCATCACTGTCTGAATGTACAGCCCCCTAGGTCTTAAAGGCATATGTCTCCAATGCTGGCTGTATCCCTGAACACACAGAGATCTATGGGACTAAAGGCGTGTGCCACCACCGCCACACTCTGTCTATGGCTCTAATAGCTCTGACCCCCGGGCAACTTTATTTATTAACATACAATCAAAATCACATTTCAGTACAATTAGAATACCACCACAGGGATGAAGACAATATGACATGCACATGAAATGGATCATTTCTGTTTCTACAAGTATGTCTAAATCAGTTGAGGTGGTTTTAGCCAAGTACCATTGACTGGGTGACTATAAGCATCAGAAATTCATTTCTCACATTCCTATAAGCTTGGAGTCTAAGAACAGGCTGTCAATGTATTTAGTGCTGGTGCTCTTAGCTTGCTGGTGTCCATCTTCTTCTACTAATTTATATATACATTACATGCTGGAACACAAGCTAGAGAGTGCTCACATAAAGTTTTTAAAGGTATGCTGATCTTCATGAATGCTCTGCCCTAATGACCTAATTAACATCTAAAAGACTGTCTCCTAACACTATCAACCCGGGGAATAGAATTTTAACACACAATGTCAGTAATTTTAATCATCCCAGCCATAACACAATGTGTGAAAAAGTATCATTCTGTAAGCAATGAAAATTTCACTCTTTTGGTGTGTGGTGATACCATCTGTATTCATCTCTGAACCAAAATTTCCATGTTAGTCCACCCTCTGTCTATGGGGTGGCCAAAATGAACAGGGATTCTTCTTCCTACCTCTGTTCCATGAGCACAGGCATCCTGAAACGTCTAAGCAACATCCATGTCTTATTGTTGAATGCCTCTAAATTAAATTTCATGAGAAAATATTCGCCCCTCAGTTTTTATGATTTACAGATGCCCCTCTCCCAGCTTAGCACTGTAGAAACTGGAAGCAGTCTCCCAGTGGGTTATTAAAAGTCACTATTCTGTCCATCCGTTGTTTCACTGAGCTTTACATTCTTCCTACTGGGGACACAGGACACACCACCATAGAGGATTATGATTAAAGTTAGTTTATCGTATTTTAAGGGAACAAGCCAGTATTTCAAAATATCATCTCTGAACCGGAACTTCAAGCAAAGCTTAAGCAAGTGTATTAGTCAGATTTTCTATGACCATGACAATGTATCTAATAAAAAGTATGTTAAGGAAGGGAA